ATAAAAAATGCACTATCCAATGAGAAATCATGTGGCCGTATTGAATGTGTGAACCACTTTAATTTTTTTTTTTTTGCGAATACGTCCAAGATATATTTTTGGAAACACAATGATCTATTCGTTATAGTACAAATGGTTGGGAAAGGAATGTACTTAATCGTAGATGTCGTGATACGGTTGGTCAGCGGTCATACGAGTTTGAATCCTTCAGAGTGTTAAAGTTGAATCTGAAAGGCCGGCAGGTAAATAACTGAAAACCTGCAAAATGAAAGAACTGCAAATTGCATTCATCTCATCACTTTGTTGACCACTCCATGGTTTAGAGCTTAGTCAAGTCGTAGGCGGAGGCTGTGATACCAACATCTCTCGAGTGTATCTCCCAACCCCCGTGTATTGGCTACGTATCATCAGTCGCAGCTGCCACATCGCCACGTCGCTTGATAACGGGTGATGAATGCCGCTGTTTTCCCGCTATAAAGTCAGTGACTAGCGAAGAAAGAAGTCGGCTCCACAGAGAGGCACCTCTGCGTGTAATCTGCCGCCATCTTAGTGCAGCTGTCCTTTGTGAGACGGTCAATTTGGAGCAATTTGTGTCGCGGGGCCTCAGCACGGGCCCAGCGCTCTATTTACACGCTAGGCTTGTTTGTGCCTCGACATTAATCTTTAGTAAACGTTAGAAGTGACTGGGTCCGCAGGTGTGATCACAATTAACTGCATCAATGACTACGTTCTGGATTTCAAATTTTCGCGTGAAATCCCACTCCACGAAAATACCACGCTTGATTATCTAGTGATTTATGATTCTTTGTCGTAAATGTGACGATTCATGGTGATAAAAATAAGGTATAATATTGTATGAGATCGTACGTTTCAAAGACATTATATTTTCGAACATTAAAATATTCGTCACAGAATCTATATGGTATTTTTCATCACTTGGGCGTAAAGTGACTCTTTAAGAAAATAGTTTGGAAAAGGAGCGAGCGTTGGAAAGACCCTTGATGAACTAAATTTTTCGTCATATTGCAACACACTAAGTTAGAAAACGAATACTTTTATGTAAAGATAACCTTTTAAAACAACTTTAAACTTGTTTTAAATTTCGTGATTATATTAAGAGAAGATACGAAATATATCTGTTTGGTAACTGCATAGTGAAAGTTCTTGTGTTTGTTTGTTTGTTTGTGTGTTTGAAGTTCAATCACGCATAAACCACTAGACGGATTGGGCTGAAATTTGGCATGATAATAGCTTACATTCCCGATTAACATATAGGTATATTCTTATCTCAAAAATCCTTTCGGGCTCCGCCCCAGTGGCTACATGTTAACCTTATGGGTATTAATATTTAAAGGGAATTAAAGAATTTAGTCAGCTGTTTCAACTGAAAAAGTTGGTTCTATGATATGGAAATGCATAAAAAAGTTATAAGATTTACCAACAGGGTGCAGCACTATATTTTTTTTGCATTTATGAAAACGGCTAATTTGAACCAAGCGGCACTGAAAAACTGTGATTCGCAATGAGAACTGTCAAAGTAAGATTGTTTACAGTTATGTTTATGTTTTTCATTTCATGAATAATTTGTGATATTTAGCGAATTGTTGATAATTTATTTTTCTCTATTGTTTAGGTAAAGGGGTAGAACATTATGGCTATGGTAGATGTGTAAAATACTTATACTAATGTAATACTAATGTGTAGGTAATACTAATGTGTGGCTATAGAATACTGTAAATTAAAAAAAGCTAATTTTATCAAACCGTGTCCTCCCTTATTGCAAACGCAAAGCTTTAGTATAACTGCAATTAGCATTTTATACTTATATTCCAACCCCGTACGAAGGACGGGTACTCTGCTAGTGTCTTTATAAGCTTTAAATGTTAGGAAAGTTATAAAAAAAAAAATAAAAAAAAACATTAAATAATAACTATCGAAATCATAAGTAATGTTTTGTATAGCAATCACGAATCTCAGGTTCAGTTTTTAACAGCTCTATTCTGTACCAGTCAAACAATATTAATCCATCAAACTATTTAATCCATTAGATAAACTATACTTTTTGATAATTAACTGATTCGGGCCGACTCTAGTTTACTCTACATAAGTGGAATGTCATGCCAGTGATTAATTGCAGGAATTTCCAAAACTGACGAGTGCTAAAATTAATCACCAAACCAGAAACATTGGATCGAATGCTACAAACTACGTACAACAAACAGTTCGATAAATCAAAAACAACACTCACATCTGCTGGCTTGTTGCTGTTCAAAGCAATTCCTATACCCATTTCAGATTAATTAGTCAAGAGAGAAAATAACTTGAGTAGTGAGATTCCAATGAGATGAACGGATGCAATTACTCTATCGCAGAGTGACTTTCAAAACCTTTGGTCAATATTTAGAAATGAAGATTGTTCGAAATATTACAACAATTTACTGTCAATTTTATTGTATTTCCATAGTTAATATCTCCCAGGGGGAGTTGACGATGAGGTTCAAAATGAAATTAGTATCTATGAAAAAAATAAGGAGGTAGACCTAGCTAAATTGAAAAATTGTTGTATTTTAACGTACTCGTACTTTAAAAATAAAGTGTGTATTCTATGATTATTGCTTTAAATAATCATAGAATTTACATTTTTTTTAAGTACGAGTACGTTAAAATACAATTAATAGGCACGTACGACCAATATAGACCTACTGTTCTCAAAATTGTATGTTCATTGTATTTTACATGATAATTTTTCAATAATATTGCCATAATAATAATATTATATTCCAATATTAGTCATTATTACAGTTTCGGGGCTATTACAATGAATTTTAATAATTTTTCAATTTAGCTACCTTCAAAAATTATACTTCAAACAAAATTGTGACAATTTGGAGTTTGCAGGTCTTTATTCCAATCTTAATCAAATTCATGATTATTTTAAGGTAGGGATGAGCCCAGTTATAGAGATGCCCAGATTATGCCCAGTTATAGAGATGCCCAGATTATGCCCAGTTCTCTAGATCGAACATGTAACCATTCCGATTACTTGACCAGCTAAAGATACAACTAGTCTTGGTTCTCAGCAAAAGAACGGACAAAGTTCCTATTTATTTAGCCAACTATTCATACGACTTACATTGATTAAATGGTATTTGTATGTGTGTATAGCATATTGTATCAAGGAAGTATGACATAATCTAGGCAACACGACATCGATAAAACAGGTGGCTACAACAATTACTGATTGAGGTGTTAATTTGACCACCCAAGTATGTATGCCAAGATAACAGGGGGGTTAAGGTATCTCCTCCTTGGAGAGGGGGTTTGATAATGGGTTTTTTTATATGTTTAAATTGTTGCTAACTCAGTGACATCTGCAACACTGTTCCTTGCAATTTACTTTAAGGAACATAAATGTACACAAGAGAAGAATGTCTACATCTTTGAGCCCTCAGTCACCCAACTCATTAAGCTAGCAGATTTGGACACGGTCAAGAAGAGTCAAATAGCAGGACTAATCTTAAAGAAATACTAGCTTATACTATTCCCCTTGAATAACAGTACATCTACCAGTGGTAGTAGTGACGGTGTCCACCTTCTAATTCACAAACTTAGTAAAATTAGAATAACAGGTAACTCTTTTAAACGGTTTAGATCATTTGTCAAACCGTAAACAAAGAACTTCCATTGTAAAAAAAGGAATAAAGTAGCCTACTTTATTCAGACCTTCTTTTTCTTTTTTATTCAGACTGGATAAATGTAGAATGTGGAATTCCTCAAGACTCAATTCTGGGTCCGTTAATAGTCTTCATCTATATCAATGACTTGCCCCAAAAAATACTTTCAGACTTAATAATTTTTGCAGATGATACCACTGCTTTTGTGAAAGGCAACTCAATGTCAGATGTGTAAATTTCGGTAAACAAAACCTTGGGAGATCTCCGAGAATGGCTTACAGCCAATTACCTGGCACTAAACAGTGATAAAAAAAACTTTTAAAAAATCAAATATGGCAGATAGTATTTCACAACAAAAATTTCTCGGAGTGATCATTGACAAAAAATTAAACTTGAAGGAACATATTGATTATTTGTTAAAAAATTAAGATCAATCTTTTTTGCTTTTTCAGTTCTTTCTCATTGTGCATCAAACAATGTTGCCAGAATAGTTTATTTTCCCATGTAGAATCCATTTTGAGGTATGGCATTACCTTCTAAAGATTCATTAGAAATATGCAAAACACTAAATTTAGAGCTTCCTGTAAAAACTTTTTCAAAAACCCGTCCATATTAACTTTGCCCAGCCTGTTTATTTATGAAAACCTTAATTATGTTCATGAAAATAAGAAAGATTTTGAAAAGTTGTTAATAAAAAATAAATACAACACTAGAAACAAGAACCTTTACAGTTACCCAATCCATCGGACAACAAAATTTGAAATGTCCTTTTTATACAGGCAGTCCTTTTTATACTAAAGCTGTACAACCGTTTGCCGAATAAATTTAAACAATTAGCAGTAAATGTTTTTAAAGTTAAAATTAAAAAAAAAATTCTACTGAATGAGGTTGATTATTCCATCCCAGACTTTTTAGCAGACACCTCCTTGGGTTAGTCACTGTACATGTTTGTTGTTATTGTAATTATCTATGTTTTATGTATAAATGTTTTTTTTTACTGTCTAAGTAAATTGAGTATCTATTATTGTATTTTACTATATAAACATGTAATTGACGAGACACCAGTTACTGCTATAAGCACCTAATATAAGGTTTATTTGTGCCAATAAATTGATTTAATTGGACTTGGAGGTAACTAATTGTAATTTATTCTGAAGGTCGGTTGACACAAATATGACACGAGCAGGATTTACTGACTTGGCAAGACAGAGTCCCAACAGGTGTGACTGGACAAAGCCTCGCCTGCTATTGTTAACAATTAGCATTATGTCGATGGGTGACAGGCAGGCCCACCTGACCAGTGATTGACACCTCAGATATACAACTATGACTGCTAACTCTCCACCGGTCACCGATGTCAGAGGATATCAAATGTTGGTCTTCTAGAGAAGGCCAAGGCCGTGTCATTGAATCAGCAAAGCGATCAACGATTCAGACGCGTTGCAGCTTGCCATCTTTGGTACAAAATACAGTTTTTCTAGAAGACCCATGCTGCTCCGCAGCGTTAAAATAAATATAATATCCGAGAAATAATCAAATTAATGATTTTTTATTGAGTAAAACAGTATTTTGTAACTGATTCAAACGATCAATAGCTCAACCTTAAAGCCTATAATTTACTGATTAATTTTTACTGAGTCTAAACATATAAAAAAAAAACATGAACAATACTGGAGATATTGATTTTTAATCATAGAAAGACCTTATGAAAAATTATTGATATACCGGTTGTTCACCTTGCGTTTGCTTGAAACTCGTCCGATTTGAATAACTAATAGCCTAAATGAAATCCGGTGTTTCACTGAAGGTTTTTTGACAATAATATATAGGATTGTATAATTATAACTGGTGAAATACATCTTAAATTGAAGTAAGAATTCGAAAATGAATCAAATTATGTTTTTTGGTCGAGTAATGCAGTAGGTAAATATATGACGATGCTTGATGTGAAATCTGTTCGTGCATACCTTCAATTTGAGACCTCAATCATGAAAATCGGTCGGGTAAAAGAGCCATACGAACTCGAAAAGAGAAATCCAATTTAACTCCGATAAGAAATACATGAGGAGCATATTTCGTTTACGTATAAGCCAAGTGGGATTATAAATAAATATATGCCGATGCTTGATGGCAAATCTGTGCGTGCATACCTTCAATTTGAGACCTCAATAATGAAAATCGGTCGGGTAGAAGAGCTAAACGAACTCGGCAAAGAGAAACCAAATTTAACTCCCGTAAGAAATACATGGGGAGCAAATTTCGTTTACGTATAAACCGAGTGAGACTATAGATGATTATATATCGATGCTTGATGGCAAATCTGTGCGTGCATACCTTCAATTTGAGACATCAATCATGAAAATCGGTCGGGTAGAAGGGCCTAACGAACTTGGAAAAAACCAATTTTTTAATATTGATATATCGAATGGTATTTCCTCAAGGGAATTATTCACCTCCAGACGCCCTTTAGGTCTCATAACATCTTGGGCGCTCATGGTTGGTACCAGTATGAACGTAAAATGATAATTAAACATGAACATCACCCCCCATATGTTATTTGACTTGCGTCGATAACCACGCTGACATGGTTTTCTGGCGAAACAAATAAAAAATCATTTTTGCAAACAATTTTCATGAAAAAAATTCGTGGTGGAGCAAGGTGCAACTATTCTAAGGATTTTAATTTTAATTTACTGTTGAAACTTTTGAACTCAGTAAAACATACAGAAACATGAGTGTGGGACACATCACTGAGTCGTAACTCGCTGAAAACAAGAACAAAGGGATTAATTCCGACGATCCTCGGGAATATTGGGGCGAACGGGAGTTTGAATGTGAGTAGCAGAAGCAATGTATCGGATACAATGGAGGCAACGGCCCATTAGCCGGCAAGTAATGGCGCCCGCGATCCGCCAGTCTTGTTTTCGAACCTTGTAAATTGAGAGAGCCTTTGTATTGGCCGGTCTTCTATAGGCGATCCCGATCGATGCCCTCTCTGTTTATTACGACCGATTCTATCAACTGCTGGATACAGGGTAGGAGGTGTTAACTGTCATGGCTTGGGATTAGGTGGTGAAAATGTCCCAAGGTTTGTGATTAGTTGATAAACGCTTGGTGTACATTTCGACCCTTGTACGCGTAATTAGATTGTGATAATGTTCGAAACTACCAATTACATGGAGTTATATTTCCAAAACTATAAGATTGTGTAAAATATGTCAAAGGCAGAGGCTGAACACTATATTACGTAAATGTCCGAGGTAGAGGTAGTAATTAGTAGATGCAAATAAGGGTCCGAGACTAGGAATTATATGGTGTAAATGTACGGAACTAAAAATTATCCATGGATTTTAATAAGATGGTGTGAATAAGTAGCGCAAATATCCAAGATTAATGATTAGGAGCTGCAAGTGTCCAAAACAAAAAAATAATTTGGTGTAAATGTCAGAAACATGTAATTAGGTGGTGCAAATGCCCTAAGGCTTTAGTATGAAGTGGTGCAAAGACCCCTGGCTTTGGAAGAGGTGGTGTAAAGGCCCCTGGCTTTGGAAGAGGTGGTGCAAAGGCTCCTGGCTTTGGAAGAGGTGATGCTAAGAACCCTGGCTCTGTAAGAGGTGGTGCAAAGGCCCCTGGCTTCGGAAGAGGTAGTGAAAAGGCCCCTGGTTTTGGAAGAGGTGGTGAAAAGGCCCCTGGCTTTGGAAGAGGTGATGCTATGATTCCTGGCTTTGGAAGAGGTGATGCAAAGACCCCTGGCTTCGGAAGAGGTGGTGCAAAGGCCCTGGCTTGGGAAGATGTGGTGCTAAGGTCCCTAGCTTTGGAAGAGGTAGTGAAAAGGCCCCTGGCTTTGGAAGAGGTGATGCAAAGACTCCTGGCTTCAGAAGAGGCGGTGCAAAGGCCTTGGCTTTGGAAGAGGTGGTGCTAAGGTCCCTGGCTTTGGAAGAGGTAGTGCAAAGGACCTAGGCTTTGGAAGAGGTGGTGCAAAGGCTCCTGGCTTTGGAAGAGGTAGTGCTAAGGACCCTGGCTTTGGAAGAGGCGATGAAAAGGCCCCTGGCTTTGGAAGAGGTGGTGAAAAGGCCCCTGGTTTTGTAAGAGGTGGTGAAAAGGCCCCTGGCTTTGGAAGAGGTGATGCTAAGATTCCTGGCTCTGTAAGAGGTGGTGCAAAGGCCCTAGGCTTAGGAAGAGGTGGTGCAAAGGCTCCTGGCTTTGGAAGAGGTGGTGCTAAGGACCCTGGCTTTGGAAGAGGTGGTGCTAAGGACCCTGGCTTTGGAAGAGGCGATGAAAAGGCCCCTGGCTTTTGGAAGAGGTGATGCATGTTTTGGAAGATGTGGTGAAAAGGTCCCTTGGCTTTGCTAAGGTTCCTGGCTTTGGAAGAGGTGGTGCTAAGGTCCCTGGCTTTGGAAGAGGGGATTCAAAGGCCCATGACATGAGCAAAAGTGTAAACAAAACATCTAATCCGCTATTATGATCAAAGTCTGTTGGGAATCGGCTAAATCCTGAGTACGCAGGTTTGCTATAATTTATCCCTGTGATTAACTTTAAACGAAAAACAATGACCTATTTCAATGATTTTTCTTCCCGTTGCGAAGCACGGGTACACCATCTATACTGAAATTAAGTTTTAGAATAGAAAATTTCCATTGTTTTTTGAGGTAACGGGTTTTATTTTGTACGTATTTTGGAAGTAATATCATAAGCAATTACTTTTAAAACAAAATAAAGTACGTACTTTAAGCACTTGTACAACATTTTTTAACAGTTTTTTACTAACTTATGTATTTTTATAATGTAAAATATAGCTAACTGCTTTTTAATGAAATAGAAGGTTTGTACTCGTGGTTAAGAGGAAAATGCATTGTTTTGACAATATGAGGAAAAAGCCAATTTTCTCAGTTTTGACTTTAAACTGATCTTACAAATGTTGTAAAGAATTTCACTCCGTGCTGAGGGTTTTCCATCAGATTTAAAATCCAAGAATTACAGATCATAATTTAAAGGCTTCTGTAGTCGAATTTCACCGTAAATAGCTGTCCTCTTAAACCCCTCCCACCCTTAGTTTCAAATTTTGTAAAACTCCGTCTTATTGTACATCTACACCATGCAGAATCCTCCTATACTAAATTTGATAAGTCCATGTTGAATATTTTGTGAGATATAAAGTTATAATCAGTCGGTTAGTGGTTTTATAAGACATGTATAATATTTAATGTAGAGATTTGTAAATGTTTGTGTCTATTATCATTTCACTATAACTATATACTTCGTGTTACTACACTCTCTTAAAAAAATCTAGTGTGTTGTAATCAATGTGTTGTAAAAAAATGTTATAACACTGCTCATCGGTCTAAACTTTTAATACATGTATTTCGGACATTATGTTTATCTGTAACTTTTGAAGTAGACCTAATTCGATCCCTTAAAAAATGTTTTCATATTATATCTCATTTAGTATTGATGCAATTGGAATAAGGTTGTTTCTAAGGGTCGCCGGAATTGTACCCCCCTGGAATTGTACCCCCCGGCGATCGTTGACGTCATTTTGACGTCACGCCTAGAGGGGGTACAATTCCACCCCGTACACTTTGATTTTAACGAAATCTAATCTATTTAATGTGGGCAAGTGATCAGTGAACCGGATAATTATATTAGATATTAAAAAGAGCAGGAGATGTACGGCCCGGAATTGTACCCCCCTGGAATTGTACCCCCCGGAATTGTACCCCCTGCCAACATAAAAATATTTACGTACGGGGTGGAATTGTACCCCCCTGGAATTGTACCCCCCATCAGAAAGCCAAATGTGTACGGGGTGGAATTGTACCCCCCGGAATTGTACCCCCCTCTTGGACAGCTAGCTTGGCTTGTGTACGGGCTGGAATTGTACCCCCCACCCACTCGATAATCTTAATTGGTATTATGAAAATGAAGTAGTAGAGAATGCCTTCTACAGTGTCATATGTTGGATTTTCAAACCTGTACAGAATAGTGATTGTACCAAGGAACTATAATTGTGAAGAGATTATCCAAAAATCTGGCTTCGCCACTTTACTTCGCCTCGGGCTATATGCATATTTTATTAATTTTCTTTAAACAACTTGAATGCATTATTGCTTAGTTTGTTTTTACTGTAATACTTTTTATACACTATTATCTAATAACATAAAACCTGATCATAAAATTTAACTTTTAATCTCCTTCAATTTTTGAAAATACACAAGACGAAGCCACAATCACAGTACACATCATAGGTCAACGCTTTTTCTAAGAGGCTATTAATCAAACAACAATGCAGGCCTGAAGATATAGGGATTATTGTAAGAGCCATGACCTTCGGTAATGATTCTTCGTAGACCAACAAATCGCTCACAAGTAAGTGAGTGACAGGGTTTCCGGTCATCTCAGAACCGATTTGGTCTCAAAAATTCACTGAATTCCCGCACTGCTAACTCATTACACAATGATTTTATAATAAACCTTAATTATTGTAATATTCAATGGTTACCTTAAAGCAGCTATTTACAACATTTTTACAATATAAATTCTGCTCAACACTAACTCTAAACGGATTACATTTAACGGAAGAACTAGGGATATTCAAATGAAAATCAAACAATAATTCATTTTCCAAATAAAATGAGCATGTTTTTTTGCGACCAGGGTGATCGAAAAAACTAAGTACTAAAATTGAACTTTAATGACTAGGGAAATACCTGGGACTTTTGTGCCCAAACCAAATGAATACTTTGTGCGAAAAGAGAAATTTACATTTTATAATATCCACTAAAGCAATCTGTAACGAGTCGCCATCAGTTACTTATCACGTATTGTTTTTGTGTCTCTTAAATCGCGTTTTCGGTAAATTACCACATTGTATCAGAGATCGCAAGAGATGATAATAAACAGCGTTGCCGTAAAGTGGGAGATGACGACAAATTTGCTGTGATCGTTTGGGATAACTGCGATGTTCTTGTGATCGCAGGATATACCTGTTGCCTTTCTTAGTGACTTAATAAAAGGCCAAGCAATATGGAATAAACGTTTACGAAATTAACGCTGAGCTTGATTCCCTCATGGACAAAGCTTCTAAATAATTTTATAACCCAAGCTGATTGATTTTTTTTAAACGATACAAGCAGTGCAAATCCTAACAAACTTTGTTTTTAAGAGGAGTCGCAAGCAGCGAATTTCGGCTTGGTTATATAAATTTGAAATACTTACCTTTTGATTACTGCTCATAGGCCTTAAGCCTTCTTTCACACCAGCGCGGTGCGGGACCGTGCCCCACCGGACGAAGCTGTTTAGACTATTGAATCATATGGGAGCTTTCACACCAGTGCGGGTTGACCCGGACAGACCTAAACACCTGTCCGGGTTGAAAAATCACCCGCACGAACCTAAACTTCCAATGCGGGTCGAAACCGCATGAATAGTTTTTAGATCATGGGCTGTTATGTGCGCTTTCACACTTGCGCGGGACGGGCTGGTTTTGCCCGCACATAAATCAGTAGTTTTGACTGTCTATGCCTATCAGTGGTTGATTTTGTTGTACTCTTGTTAATAGGCAATTTTGTTGTTCTTGGTATTGAGGTTGAAATTTATATAGAGCTTATTAGTTTGGTCAAGCTTTATATTTTGTTTAAGTTTGAAGGTCAGCTTGTAGGACGTGACCCCCACTGCAGCAAACCATCTTCCATTTGCATATTTACATTTTTACAAACGATTTGATTAAACATGCATGATTTATTTAATATAAAAACATTTGGTTTAACGAGCACTTACATGTTCTTCTAAATATATGGAAGGAAATGAATTGTTGTTTAACCTAAAACCACCTACAAATATTGTCATGAAAATATAAACTATATATCAACCATATATATCAACTACAGAATTACTTTATCTCCTACTAGCTGTACCCGCGGGCTTTGTCCCGTTTGACTTCATAAGTGAGCTCGTTCGCATGGCTCAATCACGTCCTGGTTGAAGTTCGTTCGCTACGCTCACTCACCTTTACGTTGCCTTCAGGTTAGCTCGTTTGCTACGCTAACTCGCCTCCAGGTTGAAGTTCGTTCGCTACGCTCACTCACCTTTTAGTTGCAAGTTAGCTGCTGTCATAAATTTAAAAAAATAATAGTGCTGCACCCTGTTGGTAATCCTTGTAACTTTAATGCTATTGAAAATCATAGAACAGAACCAACTTGTTTAATTGAAACAGCTGTCACAAAAATCACCAAGTTTCAGCCTGGAAACGCCCGGATCCGGGCAGCTAGTGTGAAAGGGCCTTGCGGGTCGTCCCGCATCGACGGTGCGGGACGGTGCCACACCACGCTGGTGTGAAAGAAGCCTAAGCTAAACTAGTTTGTATACAATAACTACGCTATAAGAATGGAATGGTTATTTGTTCACGTCACTTTTCTTCGATCTTTTTCGACGTAATTTAATATGACCGTGAAAAGAAGTTAATGTATTTCATTTTTGACAAAATACCTGTTGTAAAATTAAATTCGGGACCACGTAAGTTTGCAGATGGTGCCAGCCAATCACAAGACAAGGCTAGAGCGACTTTTCCACATCGCCCGTTGACAACACTAATTAAAATGTACTAAGCAATATTATCAAATCATCTGGTATTATTAGATTTGGCAACACCGCATGGTTCTCATTGGTCCATTCAAAACCATATGGTAAATAGGCTCCTCCCTCAACTGCAAACTTACGTGGTCCCGAATGTAGGTATCTGGTACAAAGTAGTTCACAGTTTGTCAAAGTTTTAACCTTTGTGAATTTAAGCTAACCCATGAACAGTTAGTACTTGGGAAGGTTAAGAAAATATTAATGAATAACGTACAAAGAAGTCTGTTAGGCCTCTCGCACGTTACTCTGAATGGCCTTAATTTGCAGTTTCTTAGAATATCCTTTTACAAC